AAACAGTAAAATGTAAATTATGTGCGAAACTATATTAGTTGTTGGAACTAAGCTGGAAAAATAAATATGAAGGTCAATTAAATAATAAAAAGTGAAGTAAAGCTCTCCTTTTTAATTTAATTAGTGCATTTTTAATTGAATTTATTTATTGGTCCATTTATATATTTCTGCTTTTTTTTCTAGTTATGTCAGTTTGGGTCCTCCATTCCGCAGAACTTGGAAGAGGTAATTTAATGTCTGAATCAGGTGTGTTGGAGCAGGGAAAAACATAAAACCTGTAGGGCTGAGGCCCTCGAGGACCAGGATTGCCCACCCCTGATCTACAACCTGTTGTAGAGTCATGGGGTTAATGGATAGAATGACTAAAAGGAAATACAAAGTTTTTTCACAGGATGACAGGAGATTACAACCGAGTTCAGTCATTTTTGGTACCTCTGGATTAGAGAATATTTGAATTGGCTATGATTTCAGTTTGATTTTTACAAGTGAAAAGTAACTTGTGGCCATTCAGGGTTTTTCTACATTAACAAATTAGTTTAAAAAAAGCTTAAATAGTTTTAACTTTAGAAGTGTTCACAAAAAGACTTAACTCCTAGCAACTGCCTTTAATATACACTGCAGGATTAGTAGTTAATTCAAATGTTCTCTAGCAATTAATACATGTCTAACATATCATGTAAAGGTGCATTTATATGAACATTTACAAACATATACACACAGTATATAGATAGTTAATTAACAAGTTAAGCATGAATTAACGAGTTTGTTGGTTTTGGACATAACTATCCTTTATTGGTAAAAGCATTTATAAATGCGTTAACAGCTAAAAAGGAATCCTCCTTAATAAATTATGTTTTCAAGGTTAACAAACAATTTATTGCTGCTTAAGTAAGGCTAAAGTAGTATTTAGTATAAAGTGTTACCTTTTTAATATAAAGGTTATATATTTTAATACTGGACCAAACAGGATCCTGGAGGTTGATGCTGGAAGGGCACCAGTGATCCCATTGGTTGGTCCTGATTCAAGTTTTGAGTCAAGCTCCCTCCACATAAATGAACATTATTAAAATATAAAAATACAACTTAGATAATTGTTTCAAATGCTGACTTTTGTTGATTTATAAAGCTCATCTGCTATATGTTCATTTTAAAAAATACTATGAGTTGTTATTAGTAATTTCATTGCAGAAAACCCACTTGCCACCATGACTGTGTGTGTGTGTGTGTGTGCGTGCGTGCGTGCGTGCGTGCATGTGTGTGTGTTTGGGGGGGTATGCAAGTGACTCTGCGCGTGTCAGCATCGGTGACGCAGAATATGTACGGCATTTTTGCCCCACCCACGTCCAGGAAGATTAGCAGAAAATGCCGCACAAATCAAAGATTGAGTCAAATTCTTTCCATTTTATCTGGTTTAAGGTGTGATTTATAC